ATGTAATTTTGCGGGAATAGTACCGAGCATCTTCGGAATTTCAGGTCAAAATTGTGTACTAAAAATGTCCCACAAAAATACACCAGTCGAAAGGGACAATTCTGCGAGCTGTAAAAACAATAGTTTGGAGAATTTCATTGCTCTGTTGGTCGATAAGCTTCTCCTCAACCTAGACTGGAAAATTCGGCCCAGTACGATTATCCTGTTGATCCTTTGGGCTACTGTCAGAACTGAAGCTCAAATTAAATTCCTAATGTCATTCGAAAATATTCGTTTTTAGTGAAAAAAGAACATATGCCAGACATAAAATAAGTAAAAGTTTTTGATTGACAATATTTGCTCAATTATGACTTTCAAAGATATTGTTATTTCAATTTTGACGCTGGATGTGTCAACGTCAATATTAATGTTCTGCAAAGATTTAATAACGAGTCGTTCGCTTGGCGATTCAGCCATGGAATGTTGCAGAGAATTTCTATGCATAATTTTGCTGTAAATGTGCCAAGTTAAAACTTATCGGATATTGCATTGCATAAAGGATCTCGCTGAGGATTAACAGGAGCCTCGTATATTTTCACAACATCGATTTATTGAACAATATTCAATATTGGAATCTTATAATTAAGTTTATTATGAATAATATCACATTTTTGCGCATAACTGATGCTAGATGATTTATTTATATACATCATTAACGCCATAGTAGAAAAATTGCTATATTCTTATCAGATACTCAAAATAAAAGTAGGTAAAAGATATAAAGCAGTTGTATAAAAAATAGCGACCATTCATCGACGAATAATTTTAGTATATTTTAATAAATTAATTGAAGAAATTAATTATTTTAATTTATATAAATTTTCAGTAGAAATAAAGTAACAAGTAAACCCGAATATGATAACAGGAGTAAATACATATGTATATTACTCTTTAATTCCACTCATTGCGTACTCTCTACTTATAATAAAAAAAAGTTTAAACGGTAACAGTTTGATTCTCAGCTGATAATTTGTAGTCTATGTTCCAAGCTTGTAAATACAGTTATTTTTCTTTCATCAATAACCCACTTCTATTATTCTCTATTAAAATCATTAAACATTGAACTCAATTGATTCTGGCTGTAATTAATTCTCTCCACTAGCCTCTGTAGGAAAAAATAACATTTCCGTACAGTCTAATTTTTTGAATGAAATGGTTTATTATAAGTTTAGATTAGTTTACGTCTTCGATGCAATGTTACGAAACATTTTTTACGCCAAACTAATTTTCTTCAGATGTTAGAGTAGCTTATGTTTCAACTGCTGCTTGCTGAGATTCATTGAAAATTGGAATTCAATTGAATTTCATAAATTTATGCTATGTATATGGTCAACCTAACTAAGAATGCTTACTTAATATTATATTATATTATATTATATTATATTATATTATTTACATAGTTTACATATAATATATAATTACAATATAAATTTTAAATTAGATATTTGGATTACCTAATCGACTTTATAGCCCGCTAACTGGGATAGGGATAGATTGCTTGCTGCAACTGCTGCAAATAAAGTCATAATAAACAATGGGACTGTAAATTTTGTGATGCTTCGTGCTGCATACATTTCACGTGTAATTATTTTGCATAAAAAACAACATAAAGGGAGTACAAACTTTAGTTATTCCCGCTAAGTGGATATCGCGGTAACCTTATATGCATAAAAAATCTGTTCTTAAATGCGGAGAAAGTGACAAATCGTACATCAACGTATACTGTAGAAACGATTACTCTTGAATCTAGGAGTGCTGAAAATGCATAATCGTAAATCTAGGAATCCAGAAAAATAGCTACTCTTTTATCCACGAATGCAGACAAATGACTACTCTTATGTCTAGGAATGCAGAAAAATATCTACTCTAAAATATCGGAATAAGTAAAAATGTCTGCTTAAATATCTAGTGATGCAATAAAATCGTCTGCTCAATCGTTTAACAGTGCGGTAAAAACGCCTCCTATCATATCCATGACAGTGCTGAGGAAATGTGCCTTCTCGTATACAAGGGTGTAGTAAAAACGCATACTCTTCTACCTAGGAGCTCGGTAGAAGCAATAACTCTTATATAAAAGAGTGTATTAAAAATGGCCACCTCTATATCTAGGGGGTATAATAAAAGTGTCTGTCCTTTTATCCAAGAGTTTGGTAAAAATCGCGGTGCCGGTCGGTCGACTCACCGCCCACAAGCTAACAATCGGGGAAGCTTCTTGCAGAGCCGAGTTTGTTCTTGGCAAACCAATTGCGTCGCAATCCTGGACAAAATCTTCCAGAAATGAACTACCCGGAGCTTTGGCTTCAGAAGAGGCTTGCAGACCGGAGCAGCTTAGCCGCAGGTGTGGATAAACCCTGTTTTTAAGCCCAATGATCCATAATTGTCACCAATATCTATCTTGAATTAGTTGAGGTCTTCTTTTTCTTAGTGGAAATTTTGTCCCATCAATGATTCTGACGATGGTTATTAATACTTTGGAATTTCGTGAGAAATTAACCTGGGATTTGTGCTAGTATTTTTATAATTAGGTATCTAGTTTAAAAAATTTTTTTTAGTATCTGAAATTTCTTTTCAATTTCTTGATCAGATGACAGCATTGCTCGATTAAATTTAGTTTATTATTCAATGAATCATTCTAAACACGAAATATTACCCACATGCAAAATGAATTGGCACGCGTTTAGTAGAATTGTGACCAGTAAACTTTTAATTAAATATCATTGAAATATTAGCCATGATACCCACTGTAAAATCTGAATAACAAGTTTTCAATAAAAATATATGAGTATGCCAACATGCCATTCATTTATTTTTGCCTACCATATGTAAGTCAGTGCCGTCTTTAATTAGAGTGTTGGGCGAACTTTTTGAGCTTAGTCTGAATTTGTTTTATATTTCGATCGCTGAAATCTTGAAAACTGTAAGGAATTCCAAAAATGCATAAATTCGTTTCTTTCTTCGAGTTACTCGTATGGCACAGAAAAAAAATTGCCAAGCTCAGGAGTCTCGATTTGTCACGGAAATCCCAGCCTCGCTTCAGGATTCATTTGAGCCTAGCTGAAGTCCGCGCCGTCATTTCGCACGTTCATCCGGTAAAGCCGAGTTGTGCTCAAGATTTAGATTTTCTCGGTAAGAAATAAGCCGGAAATAATTTTCAAAATAAAGCTAAATAATCGAAATGTTTACATCAAAAAATTGTTAGGTGTTTATCTATGAAGGTTTATTGTCTGGAGCGACAGGATCGAGATTTTCAATACTTTGTTTGACAGCTGAACGCAGAATTTTTTATTATATTGTAGAGGTCTTGAATTAAATGTTATTTTATAGTTAGGCATTAGGCATTTATTTAATAAATATGTTGTCAATTTAGGATTATTGTTAGAATAGTTTAGAGAGTACTGGAACTGTGGTCAGAGATTGAGGATAGGAATAGATAGCAGCAAGAGCGTGGACTTGGAAAGGAAGACGTCGTCATGTGTCATGTGGAACGTTTAGTTCCGTGAACTAAGACTGCTAATTACCCGTGTTCTACAACATGTGCTATGTGTCTCATTTTATGCAGAAAGTCTGTAATAGTGATTGATGTGCAATAAAGTATTTTAATATGACTGTTATGTTATAATATAGGTGTTGTCACCTGGTAACAAAACCTGCCACTATACCCGCGAGAATATTATCACATATCCTCTTATTTGACTCCTATATGAGATAGTTAAATAAATATGAAATGATATAATTCAAAATAAAGCAATATCAGAAATGGACTGCTATGGCAGCACAGGACTAATGCTGTAAAAGCCTTCACAAAGATTGCAATCACTCAGTTTTTTGACGAGTAACTGCCAAGTTACTATCGTGTTACTAACTTGCGTTAAAACACTTTATTTTTCAACACACTATCTACCCGAAAATTGTTTACAGCATCAAATTAAATAATAATTATGTTGGGATAATTATTGTTTTGGTTTTAAAACCCCGAAACACCTTTATTCTATGTTTTATAAAACCATGGGTTTGTTTTAAAACCCCGACAAACCCTTATTCTATGGTTTTAAAACCCCGCCAAACCCTTATTCTATGGTTTTAAAACCATGGGTTTGTTTTTAAACCCCTAATATAAACCAGAGGATTTGTGAATCCTTTGAATGCTTCAAAAACCGACTTCCGTGCTCGAGTTTCGTCACTGCAACTTCGCATTCGGCATCCGCTTTCAGAACGCCACGTTGTCGCAAAATTCCTGTCGCATACAATGTCAATTAACGGACCCGAACGAAAGTCTTCCTCTCCAACTCTGACACACAAACTATCCAAACAAATTCGGATATTGCAATTTTATTGCCACGACTGAGCTGGGATAGCAACAGCACTGTGGATTAAGCGTTAGTATTCGAATTTCCTGGGAAAACATCAAAGAAAATCCTGATCTTTTATATATTATCGCATTTCTTCGTAAAATTCAGATCTTCTATTTGTTATCAAATTTTTTTTGTACTCATTTATGAAATATGAAATTAAATTTCTTGTGCACATTTAATGTTTCTTCGGCAAGTGCTGAAGCAATGATAACAATTGAGATCGATGTCCGTCATTTACGCGATCGTTTCGGCTAAGTCACTGAAAAAAAATTGTGAAAGTAAATTCATAGATTAATTCATTATATTCCACTTTATATCTAAAACTTATAAATGCTAAGATAATCGAAAAAAGTTTCACGGTTTCGCAAGCTGTTACTCAACCTGTTGATAAAATTTTACCCAAACAAAAAAAAACAAATTTAATCGCAAAAAATTACAAATATTTAAATGAAAGAATCGATCAAAGAGAGAAACTTCATGTTTAAGAATGAATTGTGATTCAAACTTTCATCCGAATTAGTGAATATTGCGAGAATATTCCTAAATAACATATATTACAATGTTACTATCTATTCTGTTACTATCTATAACCATCTATTCTGCTCTTACCTTGCATACAAAGAGCGTAGAAGGCAACCGCAAAGCTCCAGCAGAAAAGAAGTGACATCTTGGGATGGAAAAATACTCCGTGCTTTCTTCTTTTCTCCTTTCTTTCTGTTTCCTTTCTTTCCTGCTCCTTTCTATCCCTCTCCTCTCTTTCTCTCTTCTTTCTTCGCTTTAGCACATTTTTCTGTTATCTGCTTACTCAACTTCCTACAGCGTGCAAGCTTGCACATCCACCGCTTCGCATGTTCTAACACTAATCATCACATTCATGTTAATACTAAAATGTGGAGATCTACCATCACTACTAACTCTTATCTACATGTATCCAATCTAAACTACGTTTCATGAAAATTTTACAGCCATAGCTCTATATGAGAAAAAAAATAATTGAGGAATAGATCGAACGACCTAGTTCTCAAAACAATTAATTGTTTAAAATATTAATTTTCTTACAAAATTCCGTCAATTATACACCCGAGGTCATAATTTTTGGAACACATGGATATTTTTTAGCTCGGATTAGGCTAATGATGCTATGGAGCTGCCGTTTCAGTGACCAGCAGATCTAATGCCAATAGTGAGACATGCGACATTTAGCATCGGGAAATCAAGAATATATTAATTAATATTAATACAGGCTTTAATTTTGCCTACCAATTGCACGAGTTAAGCTGTCGCATACATTTTTCAAGTAAAATTTTCATAATCGCCGGGTAATTTCGGAATAACCAGCATCGTACTCCTGAAAACTTTATTATTAAAATGAAATAAAAGGCAAGTCAGAGCAAGTCAACCAATTAACAAACACATATTTTACAATGCAGCATCAGCATTATTTTACTTTCAGTGAACTGACGCATGCGGCACAATCTGAGAATTTGTGAAATTTTGTCCAAATATCGATGAACTTTTACAATGGTGTCACTATTCCTGATCCAGTTTGGAATGTCATTCCCGTTTAATCTGCTGGTGAAAATTTTTTACATGATAATCATGAAAACTTCCTACAAAACAGAGGCGAGAAAACCAAATATATAGTGTAATTGTTCCAATTTTAATTTACAAATTGTTATCTGCAGCATAAGCATTAATCAGTAAAATCAGTAGTGTTAGGACATCAAAGTACCGCATTAGTTTGTCAATACTCGTAATTCTGCATCAGAAAACGACTGTGCAATTTTCCCTAAAGCTGACAGACCCAAAAACACGTATAAATACAAAGGTATGTATGTATATGTAGGTGTTTACGTATACATACATGCACGCGCTATCAGTGTCATGTACAAATGATATACTAATAGATTACAGTAAATATATCGATCGCTTAGCTAGTTTTTAATTATTTTTTCGGGTTGTATAAAAGCTTTTCAAGTTTCTTATGTGATTGTTCTATGCGCAATCTTTGCTATATTCATATTTTATATTCATTTAACCCACACAAAAATAATCTAGTTCGCTTCAGAAAGAACTATTATATACACGATGAAAATTTGTACCAACATATTCAGAAATGAAACGGGTTCGTAATGAAATGTGGTCAGTATTTTTTATACCTGAAATTTAATAGCGCATAAAAATATAAAATTCAAATGAATCCAAAATTTTTGTGTTGTAAATTGAAATTTTCAATTATTCAATCTAAATTCACCATGAATTTGGAGCCATGCGATTATGTTAATATCCAATATTCGATTTCCTAATTGATTAATAGAGATGGAATATACGTGAAGGTATTTGAGCAAAATAGCTGAATTGGTTAGTGCCTTTACCATTCCCATCTATAGGGTCACAATAACTGTTACTTATCTTATTCGTACCAAAAGCTTTAGTCGTAAGAGTTACGTTCAAGTAGCAAAATGTTAAGATAGTTACATCCTACTAAATGTTTGATGGTGTGCACCGTCCAGTGGAGCTTGCATATTGATGTTTTTGTCCATTACTGTAACATCTTTTAATCGACACCTGCGCAAGATGAGAAAAAATGCCTCACATGACAAAGAACTCATTATGATACAAACTTCTATAAACATTAATTCATCAAAAAATTCGACTTAAATCTTGGATTACTTCATTTACAACATCTGACTTCATGCATTTAGCGCTCAGTTCTTTACTTGGGTCTGCCACTTGTATTAGTTTCTGCTTAAATCTTTACCTTTGTAGCTTCTAGATACAGTGTTTGAATCATCAGGCAGTGAGAAGACGAGTATTTCAATATAAAAGCCTAGATGAATAAAAAAATTCAAACTTCTACCTAGCCGCAATGTAGTTTACATGTGTAGAAATTAGAAAATTTATTTGAAGCATCGTTGGTAGATGGCATTACGCACGATAAAAAGAATTTATCCGCACTTAAGTTAAATCATGCAATTAAAAGTTAGAATGCATCTTTGGTGATCAGGAACAATGAATTAGGTGAAAATTTAACTAATATGAAAAAGAGTCTCTGTGAAGTGAGTGGTGCTGGTGACATGGCAGTGTTGCGCACGCTATTCATCACCATCATTTGAGCGACGTCGAGATACGAACGACAGAGCTTTAAAGGCTCGCCTGTGTGTGCACATGACAGAGCGAGGACGACACCGACCACCTCACCACACCGCGACTGAACGCGCACTGAGGTAAAGTCGCAGCAGGCGAGTCTTACCTGCGCCTGAGGACCTGCAAACGCTGCGGTCCGAGGGGATGCTGTCCTCGCAGGATGCCTAGTTATTAATTTTTACGGAGATTCTGAATAATCAATTATTGTAATTGTAAAAATATTTAAATCGTAATCGTAATAATCGTAAGATAATTTAAATAATATTATATAATCGTAAAAATATTCAAATGTATTTTTTCAGCGCTTCCTAGTACGGAGATGACATATTTTACAGTTTGAATTGAATTTTCCATGATGCGCAGACTCATTTTCTGCAGACATAAAGACCTGCTTCAACTTAATTAATAATTTTTTAAGTATTATCGAAAAGTAGGACAAAATTTTAATCAATTTATCAATAGTGATCAGGCATCAATTAGTTTTCCATTGTGCAAGAGATACTTAAATGCTGGTTGCAGCCCCGTAGACTTTTTTCGATTTTATTGTTTGATTATACAATGTGATGCATACTCGTGTGTGTGATGTGATAAATGTAATGTATAATACTCTCGAATATACAGTGCTGTCCTATAAATGAAGATAAATCTCAGACCCCGAATAATGATGAGTAACCGAGCTTTATTGTACGCAAGACCGCCCCAGCGTGCAGCTGATGAACAGGAGCGCTGAGCAAGACAGATGAACGTCCGATGACTTAGGCTACCTAACGTGGGATGAACGTGGGGAAGAGATAGGGTACACTTTAGGGGGAGGCCCTTTAGGAGAAAGTACTTTAGGAGAAAGTACTTTAGGAGAAAGTACTTTAGGAGGAGGCACTTTAGGAGAAGGCACTTTAGGAGGAGGCACTTTAGGAGAAAGTACTTTAGGAGGAGGCACTTTAGGAGAAAGTACTTTAGGAGAAAGTACTTTAGGAGAAAGTACTTTAGGAGAAAGTACTTTAGGAGAAAGTACTTTAGGAGAAAGTACTTTAGGAGAAAGTACTTTAGGAGAAGGCAAGTTGGGAGAAGGCACTTTAGGAGAAGGCACTTTAGAAGAAGGCACTTTAAGAGAAGGCACTTTAGGAGAAGGCACTTTAGGAAAAGGCACTTTAGGAGAAGGCACTTTAGGAGAAGGCACTTTAGGAGAAAGTACTTTAGGAGAAGGCACTTTAGGAGAAAGTACTTTAGGAGAAGGCACTTTAAGAGAAGGCAAGTTTGGAGAAGACAATTTAGTAGAAGAAAATTTAGGAGAAGGCACTTTAGGAGAAGACAATTTAGGAGAAGGCACTTTAAGAGAAGACACTTTAGGAGAAGGCACTTTAGTAGAAGGCACTTTAGGAGAAGGCACTTTAGGAGAAGGCACTTTAGGAGAAGGCACTATAGGAGAAGGCAATTTAGGAGAAGGCAAGTTAGGAGAAGGCACTTTAGTAGAAGGCACTTTCGGAGAAGGCACTTTAGAAGAAGACACTTTAGGAGAAGGCACTTTAGTAGAAGACACTTTAGGAGAAGGCACTTTAGGAGAAGGCACTTTAGGAGAAGACACTTTAGGAGAAGGCATTTTAGGAGAAGGCAAGTTAGGAGAAGGCACTTTAGGAGAAGGTATTTTAGGGGGAGGCACTTTAGGAGAAGGCACTTTAGGAGAAGGCACTTTAGGAGAAGACACTTTAGGAGAAGGCACTTTAGGAGAAGGCACTTTAGCAGAAGGGAATTTAGGAAAAGGCACTCTAGGAGAAGGCACTTTAGGAGAAGGCACTCTAGGAGAAGGCACTGTAGGAAGAGGCAATTTAGGAGAAGGCACTTTAGGATAAGGCACTTTAGGAGAAGGCACTTCAGGAGAAGGCACTTTAGGAGAAGGCACTTTAGAAGAAGGCACTTTAGTAGAAGGCACTTCAGGAGAAGGCACTCTAGGAGAAGGCATTTTAGGAGAAGACACTTTAGGAGAAGGCACTTTAGGAGAAAGCACTTTAGCAGAAGGCAATTTAGGAGAAGGCACTTTAGGAGAAGGCACTTTAGGAGAAGGCACTCTAGGAGAAGGCACTTTAGGAGAAGAAACTTTAGGAGAAGGCACTTTAGGAAAAGGCACTTTAGGAGAAGGCATTCTAGGAGAAGACACTTTAGGAGAAGGCACTTTAGGAGAAGACACTTTAGGAGAAGGCACTTTAGGAGAAGGCACTTTAAGAGGAGGCACTTTAGGAGGAGGCAAGTTAGGAGAAGGCACTTTAGGAAAAGGCACTTTAGGAGGAGGCACTTTAGGAGAACGCAAGTTAGGAGAAGGAGCTTTAGGAGAAGACACTTTAGGAGAAGGCACTTTAGGAGAAGGCACTTTAGGAGAAGGCACTTTAGGAGAAGACACTTTAGGAGAAGGCACTTTAGGAGAAGGCAAGTTAGGAGAAGGCACTTTAGGAGAAGGCACTTTAGGAGAAGGCAAGTTAGGAGAAGGCACTTTAGGAGAAGGCAAGTTAGGAGAAGGCACTTTAGGAGAAGGCACTTCAGGAGAAGGCAAGTTAGGAGAAGGCACTTTTGGAGAAGGCAAGTTAGGAGAAGCCACTTTAGGAGAAGGCACTTTTAGAGAAGGCACTTTAGGAGAAGCCACTTTAGGAGAAGTCACTTTAGGAGAAGGCACTTTAGGAGAAGGCACTTTAGGAGAAAGCAAGTTAGGAGAAGGCACTTTAGGAGAAGGCACTTTAGGAGAAGGGGTACAAAAATGACGTTGGGGAAGAAAATAACTGCAGAGCATTTTGTGGCAGAATGTTGAAAAATGGCGTTGAGTGAAGGAGTATCCGTGCGGCACTTTAGAAGAAAGGGCATAAATGGCGTCAAGGAAGAGAATAACCGCGTGGCACAGTGGATGAACGGGTATAGAAATTGTCAGGTTGTCCCATACTCTCAGTATGGGCGTGTCGAAATAATTACGGCGATCGTGTCGAAATGGTTACGTGATCGATTCCTGCAATAATACCTCACCATGTTTAACTTTAAATAATTACTACTTAAAATAGTATCCCTCTTTCATTCCTCCTTATTATATTACATGGATATTAATTCGAGCCGGAAACCATTGAGACAGTATACTTGATTAATTATTATTCAAGTGTCATAGAAAAGACACACTTGACAAAATAGCGTGAATGAAAAAATCAATGCAGAACGCTTCAAGAGAAGGCGAGCTATGAAGGCATTAGCTGCACGGCTCGTATTTGACGACAACAAAATTATTGTAGAAAAATATTCACTTTTTTCATCTGATTAATTGAACTATGACAGACGCTCGTAAACAACGCAGCAATAAAAATTCAAGAAGATCAATGAGCAAGAATTGTTGCAAAAGGAGTTTCGACGAACACAAAATTCAATTGTTTAGAATGCAAATAATTCAAGAATTTCCTTGAAAATGCTGTAGAGTAAAAGTCTTAAACGGCACAAAACACAATTCGAATTTCACACTTAATGTGCACCCTTGTTTAAGTCCATGCCATGTCACAATGTTTACTTGTTCAGATCTATGAATCGTATTTTGAAGGTTAACTCTTCTCTTTACACCTCTGTCTTGTCTTTTGAAGGTACAACGTTCAATATTTTATGTTCATACCTCGCCTTATGAACGTGCAATGGTTCTCTTTACATCTCTGCCACATATTTTGACTATGCAATTTTTGGACTATGCATTTTTTTAAATCTATGCCTCATCTTTTGCCAATAAAGTTTTCACATATCTCGCTAACAAAGCTCTAGTAAAGGCCTGCCGCTTGCAGAATCAAAGCAGGATGACTTTAGAGAAGAATTTATTTTGCTTATTATTTCATGAAACATCAAAGACTGAGGCCGGGCGTCTGCAAGCGATGTTGCTGCTAATGAAGCTGTCAGTGCCTTGCTTTGTGCCGTGACAGTACAGTGCATTGCACCAGCTGCCGTCCTATGTACATTTCTGTCTATGGCTCTGAAAACGATATCGATAATGGATGCATTAATTATCGAATTCGTCCATTAAATGTCCGGGTACTGCAATTTGTGTTACTATGTAAATTTATGCAGGCAGCGAGTAACAATTGTGCAGTGCAAACAAGTGTCAACTAATGGTAGGCTTCTCTGAATGTTAGGCACTTATAAACGCTCACGTGCAGAGCTTTTCTGTATTTGTTCTGCCAACGCTCTTCTCTAAATGCGATTTGCGAGTCCAAAGTGTGAATTTACGTATTTTTGGGCGTGGTAGTAGAACGATCGGCTGGGAGTTAGGTCACAGTTAACAATCTTTACTTACAGTCGTTTTTAAAAAGTCAGAATAACGCTTTCAAACCGTGGTTTTGATTATATTAAGATTTTCAGTTTAAGACGAGCCGGTAAACGGTAAATTTAGGAATTGTCCTTCGCAGAAACATGAATATAAAAGTTTAAGGTTAGCCAGGAGTAAAAAGGCTAATAGTGAAGTGAACCTGCAACGTAGAGCTTCATCAACTAAAGAAATAAGGACTGACGCAGGCGAAAGAGGTATTGGATGATGCATAATTCAGGACAAACAACGTCATTTAAAAAATACATTGGAATAATCCATTGAAAAAGCAGCATGAGTGTTTCAAACATGATCCAAATTAGTCAAACTGTGTCACAAGTGACTATCATATGAATTGTACAGAATAATCAAGCATAGGTATTATAGGAGTTTACTTCGTTTAAAATGTTACGTTTGTGGCTAAATATCAGAAAATCGATAACACTTGGAAGTAATGTTA